ATACACTTGAAAAGAAAGTGTATAAAAACATTTCAATATGACTGAAATCAGTTCATTCTTTCTAAGTAACAGCATATTCGTAAATGATTTTATTTGTGTTGCCAAGCCAGAAACCAAAAACATTTGACATTTCAGGTTCATACGTATACATATGACATTATCATTTAAATTTAATGTAATATAACAACTTTTTCTCCGTTACCCTAATCTGAAACAAAAAAAAAAAAAAAAAAAAAAAAAAAAGCGAACAGCAGCTATTTATTTAAAATTGTTGACATTAACGAAAAATTAAGACACAATAACACGCCGAATAAATACTAATTCAGAAGTCAAACAACAAAAATCAGCGTTATATTTACAAAATTTTCACAGGACTAGTTTCGATGGTTTTACCGAACCACCATCTTCAGCTGCAAAACCGCAATTGAACCAAATTTCATTCATTTGCGGTTTTGCAGCTGAAGATGGTGGTTCGGTAAAACCATCGAAACTATTCCTGTGAAAATTTTGTAAATATAACGCTGATTTTTGTTGTTTGACTTCTGAATTAGTATTAACGAAAAATGTTTGTCATACAGTGCCGTCACATGCAAACGCGTGTTTACTTCAACGTCAGAATATTACCTTACATAACGATGATGTCACAAACAAACAGACATGCACAGATTAAGACACAATAACACGCCGAATAAATACTAATTCAGAAGTCAAACAACAAAAATCAGCGTTATATTCACAAAATTTTCACAGGACTAGTTTCGATGGTTTTACCGAACCATCATCTTCAGCTGCAAAACCGCAAATGAACAAGATAGGAAATAATGATTAGATAAGATAAGGAAGCCTGGACAAGAATAAGAAAGTGGCGCCATCTGTTGGCGAAACCAGAACTAAAACATAATTTCTCTAAAAGCCGAAGGCAAATTTGGATTGGAATTAGGATCGTTAACTAGAACAGAAAGATTTTTATGAATGTGAAATGCCTCTAGAAAATCCAGTTCTCCAATGGAAGATGTTGGTCCGAAAATCACACTTTCAATTTTTCTGCTGCCAAAATTATTCAAAAAACATCTTCCATTGGAGAACTGGATTTTCTAGAGGCATTTCACATTCATAAAAATCTTTCTGTTCTAGTTAACGATCCTAATTCCAATCCAAATTTGCCTTCGGCTTTTAGAGAAATTATGTTTTAGTTCTGGTTTCGCCAACAGATGGCGCCACTCGCTTATTCTTGTCCAGGCTTCCTTATCTTATCTAATCATTATTTCCTATCTTGTTCATTTGCGGTTTTGCAGCTGAAGATGATGGTTCGGTAAAACCATCGAAACTAGTCCTGTGAAAATTTTGTGAATATAACGCTGATTTTTGTTGTTTGACTTCTGAATTAGTAGACATGCACAGATTTTAATACTATAGATATTTGTAAAATATCAATATTTTAACCTGCTAAAAAGCAGGTTAAAATATTAATAAAAAATATCTGAGTGTTTTATTTTTTAATATGTTTTCTTAAATATTTTTAATGAAACTAAATAAATATTCCCGCAATAAAAACCACATCACAGTAACACTAGTTTGTTCATTTCTTTAGAGAAGAAAATACACTGATATAACTTGATACTTTTCGCATCAATCAAAATAAATAAGAAAAGAGCGTTATTTTAACGCATTAGAAGTTGTTTTCACTATTTTGTTTGCACATTCTTAAATGAGACGATAATGGTTCATCTATCGGTAACATTATACGTATTTGTGCCACGGAATCTAAATTTGAGATTGCAGAGTATCCCACTGAAATGAAATGAAAACATTTGCTTAAAGAAAACTGTTGAAATATTTCTTTCCTTCGTTTGTTTTTTGTTATGTCTGAGTATTTGAAATATCCCTTATTGTTTCCTGTTCTAAAGACATTTTTTTTTCAGAGTTTTTCAGGAAACTATTTTAACAAAAAGCTGTCCCAAGTTGTACGATTGTTACCTTTCCTTAAATCAAGCTAGATGACAGGTTCGTCTTGATTGTACGAGTAATACAGCGAACTGAATGCTCTCGTAAGACTATTAGGAAATTTAAATACATCGAAAATACTGATACAGCTTAAATTCTCGGAAAAAAAGAAATGATAACACTTTTATTCGAAGATATGAAATTGTACAGCTTCTAAATGTCCAATATTCAGTTATTCCCTATACTAATGTTATATTTTCAAATGGTATTTAATTTAAAATGCATTAAAATAAAATCGAGATTACTTTTAAAATTCTTTTCCTTTATGAAAAAAAAAAAAAAAAAAAAAAAAAAAAAAAGATATAGAACAATTATTATGAAGGCACAGTAGTAATGTGAGCCATTCTATCCTCAGCAGTACGTAGTTGTAATTCTGTTATGTGGGTCCATTATTGTTAATGTCTCATTTTTAATAAGAAATTCATTACAGAAGGCAACTACTTACTAATTAGATGTAAATATTCGTTTATTTTAACTAATAAAAACCAATCTGTGGAATGGAGTGTAAATTGCTAACAGTTTTCGTATCGTACACTTAATGGAGCGTGTTATCTACTTCGCCACTAAATGGCTGCTCTTGACCTCATCAAAATTTGCACTGTATAAACTTAACAAAATATTTTCACTGATCAGTTTATGCCCATAGCAGCTGATTCTGTTTAATGAAGCGTATTCAATAGATTAGATTGATCTGTTTTGAATGCCTGAAATTTTCATGTCTGCAAACACGGAAATTAATGGCCATTGACTCTTCAAAAAACATCATCGGTATGAAAAGAGCATATCATGTTTAGCATCATCGATATGCAAACAACATATCATGTTTTTACACAATTTAATTTTTAAATACTTTTAGCATAAAACGAATGAAATAACAGGACCATTTACTGTTCATTATTGTAACTGCAAAATAGTTCGATTATATCCTTATATTTAATTAAATAGTCTTATATCTTTAATTGATTTCGTAAAAAAGTAGTTTCATTTTTTCATGTAAAAATAATGGTTAGGACAAAACGTTTATTTTAGACGCATAATGAGTTAAATCTCCTGTAAGCAACTTAGCTGTTACACAGAAGGTGTTTACACATTTTAGAAAGATTTTGATAAAGAATTTAAAAAATTAAATATTTAAAAAAAAACTGGCAGTAGCTTATTATTTAAAATGAGAAATATCGTATGCTGATTTATTCTTTTTTCAAAATATCGCATTTAAATGTGGTGTGGATTGAAGGATATGTTTTGCGTGTTCCGAAGATAACTATTCCTATTCTATAACTTAAATCATTGCGAAATGCATGGTAGAAATATTTTGAAGTTCAAACTAAGCAAAATTAGTAATCGTAAATGGAAAAACCACCAATCATTACTTCTACATAAAAAGAAAATTCCAAACGAATATCCATAAAAGGATAGTAATGTTTCTGAAATTAAATCACCGTAACAACAGAAAATCTGCCGATGCAGGAATCAAGTGTAAAGCGTTGAAATACACCTGTATCAACAACAAATAAAATAATAAACCAAGATTTAAAACCTAAAAAAGCTAAAAAATATATTGTTCACCAGTTTTTGTTGAGGTATATGGCTGAACGCAGATCAATTTGTAGAATCCTGTATGAAAATTATACAACAGGAGATAAATGAAAAACACTGTGATCTTTGATGAAGCATGGATTTATCTAAATGATTGCAACAAGAAAAAAAGACGTTTATTATCGAATTCTAAAAAATGTACAAATCTGTTCCTGTCAAGGAAAAGAAAATTGCAGGTGTTTTATGATTGTCTTACAATAGGAATTTAGGATTTTCTTAGAATGAGAAATTTAAAAAGAATAAGAGTGGGAAAATATGTTAAAATCAACTGAATGCACTATCAGGAGAAAGTTTTACGTTCAATATTTACAAAAGATATTCAATTTCTTTATTTTAGTGACTTTCAAAGAGCGAAACTTTTATCAAGATGTAGAGACATTAGGTTAATTGGAAAAGCCGGAAAGATAAAAAATGAGCAACCGCCTTCGCCGGGAATCGAACCACGGACCTCTGAAATACCGGCCCAGCGTGCAGAACCACTACACCACGAAGGCACGCTAGGAAAGTGGGAGAAATACCTTATAAAGACAAAGCAACAAGTCATACTTCGAAAAGTACCACTGCTTTTTGTTGATAAAAGAAAGACTGATACAGGTATTGTGTACATATTTTTTCAATGCATTTCTGCGAAGTCTGGCAACCTTTTTTCTATGAAATGTTGTGCCTCTTGAAAATAGCTCTTTCTGAGCGCAAAACCACCACGAATGATGGGCTCCTGAAATTAGTGGAAAAGGAATGGTAATCATTATCCCTGGGATTTTTAACAGCATAGGACATCTGAAGAAGCTGCTCGACTTTAACATGATTGAGATTTATTCTTTTAACACTTATCCTTAAGTATTATTACTTTGTAAAATAGTTGAGAGATCCCAAAGTGTTTTGTGGTTGGGTTCGGTTTGTTTGATTATGGACACAGGAGGTCTAGCTGCCTAAAGGGAGGGATGCTTTCGTGGAGAGACGTTATAAGGGAAACAAGCTTGTATCCACGTTACACGTGGGAAAATCCCGAAAACGACCACCATGTAGTTGTCCATTTGCCTGGAATCGAACCCAGGCCATACTACCCGTGTTCAACGACTTTACCGCTTGGCCGCTGTTGGACTTCGAAATGTTTTACGAAAAGAATTAGAAACATAAAGCAAGTTGTTTAGATAATATTACTGCAAATTTGTTAATGAAAACTAGTTTTGAAAAAAATGCATTATGAAAAAGTAACCTATTGGTTTTATTTGTATAATGGCACTATTCTTTCACCAACTTTTGACTTTTCGTAGAGCAAATTTCCTTATCGGTTAAAGCAGATGTTCAAAAATTATTCAGCATGCGATTTTCATATAATTGACAAGTTATTTTTAATGGATGCATTCAATAGATTAGATTACAGAAGGCAATTCTCCTACCTGCAAATGATAAAGCCTTAGATATGAATGATAGACGAACCCCAAACAACAGAAGGCAAATGATTATCTGAAAAATCCAAAAGAAGATTGATCTATGTTAACAAGTATGAAATATTGCATATTAATGAAAAATAAATTTCTGATCAAGTTTTTTTTAAATTATCATCATGCCCAATTTACTAATCCCCAAAACTTTAAACTATTCTATTCTGTTGCTGTATTTTCAAATGAAAATGCTATTTTAATAAAAGATTTGTTAAAAAGGCACGTACAATTTAGAACGAATTTATTTAGTTTTATTTTTCAGTTTACAGACCTCAAGTAACAAATAACTTTTATTACTCAGAGAACATTCTCCTGAAGTTCCAAAACATCATTTTTCTTTCAGATAGCTTAAGTAAAGATTTGTCCCGTTATATCTACAGAATGTAATGCTAAAAGAACATAAACGTAAAATTTCGGAGGAAAAAGAATAAAATGGCCCATTACTTTTCAGTTGCTCCTTCCACATGTTTAGCTTTAAATATCATTTGAGTAGCGGTATTTTTTAATGCCTTATCTAACTGGAACTACTATTTAAAGGAAGTATGGTTAGTATTTTCCTTTTATTGAGGAATAAAACGGGACAACAGACAAATCAAAACAACTTACAGATTTTAGGTATCGAATATAATGGCGCTTAATAGCAGTGCAGTTGATCATAAAAAGTTACAAAGCTTCGGTTATCGGATAATGAAATTAGCATTCATGTTGAATGATGTACATGATTTCAAATGAGAGACTTGGCTGACTATTGCTATTAGTGCTCAGTTACTAACTCTTCACATGAATGTCTTGTTTAACCTTGAATTATATTACGTAATGAGGCTTTTATGAGCAAGAATTTATAAAAATTTCTTTAATTGCCGAGTGTACGCAGTACTAAATGATAAATGTACGTTATTCATGACTTGTTCACGATACATTAAAAAGAAATGGATCTTTTATAGCGGAATAAAATATTCCTTTTTTATGTGTGCGTGTGTAAATAAAATGAAAGAAAAGATTTTCTTTTAATGTAATCTTCAGGATTCTTCTGATTTTCGTCCCTGTTGGCTTCTTTCTTACCAGATATTTATATGCTTAAATTCAGGTCGTCTGGTCTGATCTGAGGCCAACTATGTATGAGCTTATTTCGTGCCTGTGTTGTACACGATTTCTTTTTGTATTCCTCATTTCCCTAGCCGTATCACAAGCTCGAGAATGCATATTTTTATTTCAAAGTTCAGGTATCCTTCCAATACCTTTCCTTTTCAACGCCATCTTATTCATTACTTTATATATTTTGCATATATTTCATTTTTTATTACTATTACGAGTTAGATGCTCTCATAACTGCCTCCTTTAGCATCGTCTCTCCTGCTCTCGATTGACCTCTTAAGAGATACGCTTCTTGGTCTAAGAAATGCAAGTCCTTAGGTCGCCGGAGTTTGACAACCGATACGATCAAGTAGCAGCAAACTCCTTCGGCAAATCTCATTCGACTCTCAAGACCAATTTCGAAGCGAGATCCCGGTTATTTTAAGAGACTGCAATGCGCATTCGAAAACTCATTTTAAATGTGTCCTGCAATTCACACCAAGTCTGCGTTCTTCATCGAACCGTAAACCAAGAAATCCACTGCTCAGAGTTGTCATTTTTATTAGTATGGATCTCCGAGAGTTCCACTTGCATTCGAAATATGCGAAGAAAAGTACCTCCCTTTTCGAGGAAGTCCATAGTTCAATTTGATTCATGGAAAGACCCATAGAAATCGACCGATAGTTCTTCCTTCAACGGTTTAACGGCATATCACGTATGGGAGGCGATCCACCCTGTATGGCGGTGCTGTTTGAGCCAAGCATAGGATTCGAAAATCCGACACTTCCTTCTTGTCACCATTATGCGACCAGAATAAAGTACTATAAGCATTTCGACCGTAGGTACGAAACCACTTGGGATTTCAAAATTTTATCAAATTCGAATTCTCTTGGGTTTAGTTTGTTGCTCAGTGGCGCGCAGCATAGCGAAGGAAGGCAAATCTCCCTCCACGAGTTTCACTTATGTTTTTTTACCAGAAGAATCTGAGCATCGACTATGGTCCTTCCGGAAACATTCTTAGGACTTTTACTTCTAAATAATCAAGGTTGGTCAAGTTTTCCGACGCACAGACGCTATCCGAAAGCCACTTTCGACAGCCAGTCCGAAAACCTCACTAGATCATTCAATCGGTAGTAGTGACGGGCGGTGTGTATAAAGGTGAGGGACGTAATCACTCGTACTTACTCGTCACTATCGACACATTACTGGAAATTCCTCGTTCAAGGGTTACGATTACAAGTCCTTATCCCCAGTATGAATGAAGTTAAAGGGGTTACCCAGTCCTTCGGACAGGGAAAAGACACGCTGGGTCTTTCAATGTAGTCCGTGTGCAGCCTCGAATGTCTAAGGGCATCACTGACCAGCTATTGTTCTGTCTCGGGAGGCTGATCGCTGTTTATCCCTCTGCACACCCGACTCGAGGAATCGGAGCTTCTAATATTAAACAGGCTACAGTCTGGTTCGTTATCGGAATTAACCAGACAGATCGTTTCAGCAGCTAAGAACAACCATGCACCACCACCCATAGAACCAAGAAACGGCTCTTAATCTGTCAATCCTTCCTGTGTCTCGGCAGCGTAAATTTTTTCGTGTTTAGTCAAACTGAACCGCAGGCTCCATTCCTGGCAGTGCCCTTCCGTCAATTCCTTTCATTTTCAGTTTTGCGAAACCACAAAAAGCATTTTTCACAAAATGGATTTCTGTGCAATATTTTATAATCATTCTTTCGTATATATTTATATATAATTTTTATCTATAAATAAATTTGATATTATCTTTTAAATGAACTATATTAAAATTTGAAATCGAAGTACTTCAACAATGAAATCAAATCTATTCTGCATAAATTGGTTTCTTCAAAATATAGGTATAGATAAAGATTAATCACAACGTATAAAATTATTTGGTTAAAAGAAAATAAAAAAATATTACAATCTGAAAACTTCAGAATCTAGTTTATACATGAACAACTCCACATTTAAATTTCAAAAATAAAAATTCTGATTCGGATATCATATGACTTCTTTGTACGCCTATTAAATTACACGCATTTTCTGCTGCATTTTATTTAAACATATTTCCTCGAATTATTCTAACTTAGTTAACCGATCCCTTTAAACAAGTTGAAAATGACATAAAAAATTGCAAATTTTGAAATTAAACCTCCCGTTCAATTTTTCTCGTACGGGATTCAAATTTTCTGTAGTTTTATTTTTTCATAACGAGTATAAAATTTTCCTAAATATAAGTATGCGAACAGAAAGACCGCATTAAAGAAGTTAGATCTTGTTATTTGTCCAAAATATTTTTTTTTAACTTGAAATTGCCCAAACACGAAATGAATATTTTCGCCATTTAAAACACTTTTGCATTTGGAAGTTCATATCCATGACCAACGACTGCGAAAATAAAAGCCAGGTAGAGAATTTTAAGCCGGCAAATGAACTGGGTTTGTATACAAACATATACTGCAGTTAAAATGTGAGATGCGCTACTAGATGTTACAGCAAATCCGTATACGAAATTCCAACGTTCTATGGCTAATCGTTTTTGAGTTATGCGAGGATACATGCGTATATACATACGTACAGACGTTACGAAAAAAATCCATTTTGAATCCGTTTTACAATTCGTTTTGAAATAAAGAGTCCTTTATTCCACCCGTACGTACAGGTGTCATACAAAAAAAAAAAAAAAAAAAAAAAAAAAAAAAAATAAACAAACAAAAAAAATTAAATTCGATTCAGGCACAGTCAAAATTTATATTTCCGTTGAAACTTCAAAGCCGAAATTTTTCATGATTCCTTTACTTCATGATTCATACTTCCTTTACTTCGTACAAGAAAGTAAAAAATAAAAATAAAAAATGTAAAAAAATAAAATTTTTTAAATTATAAAAATTAAAGCATTTAAAAAATTGCTATCTGATCTTGACGTACATATTTTAGTTTAACAAATGATATAATTTTAATCCAAACAATCACGAGAAACCAATTAGTTTGAAAATTAATCTCTTGGAAGTTTTAGGTTTAGGCATATCAATAAAGTGAACTATACAAAATAGCATCGTCAAATAGTAGGAAAATAATAAAACTAACCGAGTTACTCTTCCATCATATATTAACACCACAAGAAGTCTTATGCACGCATTTAATAATGAATTTCATTATGTGTCAAGACGCCACATTCCATTATTTCATTAGATCGCTTACGCAAGAGGTAAGCAATAAATATTTCTGCCGTATGAACTGGCGATACTTTGTATTTTGTCAGGACATTAAATTTACAAACTAAATGTAACAAACATGTCAAACAGGTTACATTTGAGATGTTCGATAAATCTCGACAATTACAGAACAAATGAATAAAATTAATTTATAATTGCTTATCACGATTTAATTGAAATTTTACGGAGATATATTTAGTATTCTACTATGATTTGATCAATTTTTTTTAATTATAAGTAATGAATTTTGAAAGGGCTTTAAATGTGTGCTTAAATATGTCAACCATGATTCTTACACTAAGATTCATTTAAGTACTAATTAATTAACACTTATTTCATTAAAAATGGATTCAGGTATGACGCTAATTCTTATTTAAGAAGAATTCTTATTTAAGAAGAATTAAGCTCGAAACATAAAAATGTTAGCAAAACTGCACATTTTTATCTCATTGAAATACTACTCGCTTGCACAGCCAGCCGCCTAAAATATTTATCATAAAATTGAAAAAATATATAAAAATTTTAATGAGTGCCCTTAGTATAATTTAATAAAAATAGTTAATATTTGTAATTAGAGATTTCTTGATTTAAATGCATTTCTATTTAAGTCAGTCAGATTTAGTAGCTGCGTTTATTGTTTTTAAATAGTTAGGTTTATTAATCAATAACAGATAGATTAAATTTGGAAACACGCAGCTACGTAGAAGATAAAAGTATTTTAT